GTAGTAGTACGTAGTACGTAGTACGTAGTAGTAGTAGTAGTAGTAGTAGTAGTAGTAGTAGAGTAGAGTAGAGAGAGAGAGAGAGAGAGAGAGAGAGAGAGAGAGAGGTTTTTGAAAACAGTGACAAAAATGTAAATTGAATTGAACAAACAATTAGAAAAATTAATACTTATTGGGAAAAAATATGAAACACGTTGTATAGTAAGAATCCCTGTAGGTATATGAATGGACTTTTAGGTTCACTGACCAACTTTTATGAATCGTAGTTCTGTGCGTTTTCTCATATTGTAAAGTATAACTTGCACTATAAAAAATGATACAGCATTTGATATTAAGGTCCACTTGAGGAACTTACTGTGAAAATTTGCAGTGGCCTCTTGGGGTAGTGTGGATTATATTTTTTAAAACAATATTGTATAGTGGCATTTACATTTTTATATGTCCTTTACAAGCCTGCGTGCAGGTATATGCTTGGGCCATATGTATATGTGCATGTTGATACGTAGATTGGATATGTTTTTATGCATGTTTGAATCTAGACATGAACATGCAGAGATGTTGAGTGTTGACACAACATGTTTGTACATGTACAGGGATATATGTATATGTATTTAACCGTTGAAGGTTTTGTTGAGGGCTTATTATGCTATCTTTTTGGTGTCTAAAGGTGCGAGGCTACTCTTTCGACATAAACACGGGAGCTGTAGAATCCCTCGAACTGGACTCCTTTGGGATATCCATCATTCCAGCCAGTTTGGTAATGCATTGATTTTTTCTTAATAGAGTACTAGAGAAATTACCCATCTCGAAAGGAAAAAGAAAAGGTATAATAAAAAAAGTATAAATCTACAGGGTAATGACCATACAACAGTGTGGAATATCTGGTGAAAGAAAAAAATAAAAAAATATAACAGAGAATGCCCTTTGTATACGTTTGGTTTAGTTTTGAGTTATACCTATGTGTTGTATGTTTCAGGTGAGCACATACAGTTTGTTTGTGATAGATGTGCTTGAAGTCACAATGGAAACAGTGATTGTGCATGATGGCGTGTTCTCTCGAGTGCAGAGACTAACAAAGGTAGGTCACCATCATCAAATGGGGAAAAATAAGTTCCTTTTCTTTTCATAGCAATTTATTACAATATAAAATAATTTTGATGGCTGTTGTTTAGTTGTAAGAGCTTTCAAATAATTTGATTGAGTTTTATTTCCTTATGTATCTCCACTTCTTTCAGATTTTTGATCGAATTTTGGCCATGTAATTTGTATTCCTTCTCTTTCACTTGTTTAGGTAAACTTGCCGAAATTCTACCTCTTGGGCTAGTGGCATGGAAACCATCATTAGAATCCTTTCTTTTTCACGTTAGAATTTAGAATTGTACACACAAACACATGTACATGAACACCGTGAGTTTCTTGTGTATGTTTGAAACTTTCATTGACATATGCAATGTCTTCAAAGGGCCAAAAAAATTTCCCACATTCCTCAGTAGATGTGTTTGTCCAGTGGGAATAGGTTTTATTCATTTCCTAGGGGCTTGGTGGAAAGGATGCTCAAGGAGAAGGGTATTTGTACGGTGCTTTCATGTCAGCAGTGCTCATATGGGGTGATTTTGAAATGGCATAACCATATAAGCTTAACAATTGCAATTCCCCTAGGAAAAAAGGTTCTGACATGCCTTTAAGAGAGACTATTATCCCCATAGAAATATACATTACCTTAGGGCGCATTTTATTGCACAAAATCACGGTAGTGGAAAGTGCAATGGAGCATTGCTCTTTCTGTGTTACAGGATGTTCCCCGTTTGACTTCGGAGGAAAATTCCTGGGTCCGACCATCAAGGTGTGCCATTTTCATAAGAAAATGCAGAAACTGGCTAGTTACTGTAGTTAATGGGGCACCATGGTATCAGATGCACCCTAAGCATACGAGTACTTCTGCCCCTTTCTGGCTCTGTGCAGATTAATGTAGTTTTCTAATTATAGAAAAGTTTATCACCCCTCTACCAATTTATTCCCTACGGTGACTATTTCCTCAGTGATCTATGAGTAGTCACTTAATTTGGTTTTGCGAAGTTTCACTTCTTTGAAACTCGCTCTAGCAATTATCAATCGTACCAACAGAGTTACCGAAATTTTGATCTCTCTCTCTCTGTCTCATCATTTTCTTCATGAAATCTTAGTAACTGTATTTCTTTAATCATCTTTTTGTGTTGTTTTCTTAATATAGGGAATTTGGGAGACCCGAAACATCGATATGGCAGGTGGCCGACGTAGAGAAAATTATGACTATGAACCTGGGTCTCCAAGGAAAGGCACAAGAAAGAGATCAGGTGGTCGGAGAAATTCTCCAAAAAATCGAGAAATTGAACAGGAGTGGGAGCTCCCAATGGATTATTGATCCTTGGGTACCATTTATTCTCTTCTACAAAATGAGTGGAAATATTTTCTTTATGAGAAATAAATCTGTGTGAAAGTAAGCCATGTTCGTTTCTTGGAGAACCTTTTTTTTCTTTTTACAGAAATAGGTCTTCTTTTGACTCTGTTGCTTTTGCATGGACTAGTGCAAGTTAAGCATCCAGATGATTTAGGAGTTGTGTAACATGTGAAAAAAAATTGGACTCTAGCACCTGAATAGTTAAATGATTATAGTATTGATAATTGGAATCCCATTGTTGACCTAACCAAAAAAAAAAAAAAGGGTTTTTGTACCATAAAATTATTTACTTTTGGCATAAGCTGGTCAAAATTAGCTTTTAGCTGTTGGACATGAAATCTAATAGCTTGGGGCTTATTAAGAAATTTAAGGAAAAAATTTACTGGACTTTGAATCAAGCTCGTGGAACACGCTTACTTACCGCCCACCTATTTTGCATCGCGTGGCAGATGATGACTGTGACCACTTTGGACCAAAAGTGAATTATTGTATTGAATACTTCTCATAATCCTATAGAAATAGTTTAGACAAGGATCTAAACAATCAAATCAAGGCGAACCTCAAAAGTTCATGAAGAAGGTTGTTTCGATGCAAAAAAACCCTCAATTCGATCATCTCACCTTCAAGATGTATCGACTTGAGGATTTTTTTTTTTTTTTTGAAGTATTGAAAATAGTGCATCTTGTTTGGTCTACACTATTTTGAATTTTGAATTTTTCATTAGAGAAAAATAATTTTTTAGGTTATTAAAAATTTATAATATTAAAACAATATATTTTAGCACTATTTAAAGGTGTGCCCTATTTTGATTGTTTGGAGCCGCGGCCTAATACAAACCACACCCTTATCCTATTGGTGTGAGGCAATGGGGTTATCCTGAAATATGGGGTATCTAAGAGATAAGAGAAAGTATGTACAAGAACTGAGATGACTGGAAATTATTCTTGTTTTGATTCGTATGAGAACTGATTTGATTGAAAACTATTCATGTTTTGCCATGATGTAAGGTAAAAGGAATTTGGAGATGGATTGAGGACCCAAACCTGCAAATCCTTTTATTTAACCTTCATGATAGTGATTCCGAAAAACGTAAAAAGGATTCAAACTCAAAAAAAGCTCAGAACTAAAAAATTATTGTGAAAAAAACACAACAAAAATGATTTGGAGCTCAAAAGATGGTTTTGTTGCTCTCTTTCACATCTGATCAGGACTGTCCGTTTGGGGTTTCTGAATAGACCCTCCATCTCAACATCTGATGGATTTTGTGTCCACGGGTATAGCTGCTTGATTGCAACTGCAGTTCTTCAAAGATTTGACGTGTTGGTAAATGAATTGTGAAAGAAGGGCTCTTGTGTTAGCATTTTTATGTAGAAAAATACTTTTATTTCAAACTAATATAAGTAACTAAAAGTATAGAATGAGACCATTTACCTTTGGTAGAAGGTGATCAAAATTAATCTTGACCATTGGATGTGAAATTGTGATGCATGGATAATAATAATAAAAAGGTCAAGAGAATATACCTTGTAAGGAATCTACCCCAAAACTAACTTTTCACATGACCAAATTTATTCAATTTTCATTCTCTCATATTTTACAATGAAATGACAGCGCTTTTTAAATAGACTTTGAAGAAAAAAAACAATAAAAAAAATGCCAAAATATAATTTCTCTCTCGCTCTCACTCTCATGTACCATCTAGATCTCTCCCCCTATTTTCTCTCTCAACGAAACTATCATCTCTCTTAAAAGTCACACACCATATTTCTCAATAGGGTTGATCTTCCCCGTATCTGAATACATTATCTTTGTTCTATTTAAGTACCCTTTAAATCTATCACTAAATCTAACAAAATCTTTAAAGCCACTTTAATATAAGATAAATTTTAAAAAACAAACTCACACCAATTTCCTCTTTAACTTTCCTAATAACTCATGCCGCCCTTTCCTAAAACGATAAATTCGAAAAATAATAAAATTATAATTCAGAATTTTTTTCTGCATCAAATTGGGTGGTCTGCATTTATTCTATTGACCATGCTCAATTTCAAAAAAAAAAATTCTTGAACTTTATAAGATATCGAACTTATTAATTTTCACATCGGATGGTTGTAAGTAATTGTGACCACATATATCAAAGGTAAATTGTCTCATTGTATATATTCCCACTAAGTAATGCCATAGTTTTAAAATGTATCTTTTCCATATTGTCGAAGACGAAAAATGAGTTACTAGTCTTATACAGAGCATGCAACAGGCATGTGTAACAAGATTGCTCATGCATGGATGCATTTGTGTGGAGGACCTTTTCACACTTAATTTTTGGAAATTTAGAAAACGAAAGAGTATGATGAGACCATTTACCTTTAGTATTTGATGGTCGCAATTGATCTTGATCATTGAATGTGAAATTGAGCGGCTACATCTATTCAATTGACCAAGATCAAAGCTAATTTTTTTTTTTTGGAACTTTGTGACATACGTAAGCTATCAGATTTCACATCAGATGGTTGTAAGTAATTGTGACCGTGTACCAAAGGTAAAAAGTCTCATTATATACAATCCCATAACAAAAATGTTAGTATTTTTTTTTTTTTTAAATGTTATCTAAGTTGGTATGGAACTGAAGATGCCATATTGCTGCACATCGCCGCATATTCCACCTAGGCCTTGGGTCCATTCCTTAAAACGAAAATATAATTGTTAAATATAATATTAACTAAGCATTATATGAGAAAAAAAAAAAAAAATTGCTACCAGTGAGAAGACTGATTCATTTGAGAACAAATGGGAAAGATTTTTCTTGTAGATATACAACGGATTTGAACATCACAATTATAGAGTAAATTTTGCCAGGTTTTGTGTAAACAAGTAAAGCTAAAAAAATTAATTATAGTGAGTAAAGTTTGCATCGTTTTCTTTAAAATTATTTTTGCATGGTTTTGTGCAAACAACTGCAGCTTAAAAAATGGATTATCGTAAGTAAGATTTGCATTGTTTGGAGTAAAAAAAGAATAAATTTGCATTGTTTTGAGTAAAAAATAAATAAATTTGTATTGTTTTGAGTAAAAAAAAATTCGATTATCGTAAGTAAGATTTGCATTGTTTTGAGTAAAAAAAAGGAATAAAATTCGCATTGTTTTGAGTAAAAAAAGGAATTAAACTTGCATTGTTTTTGAGTAAAAAAATTATTGTAAGATTTGCATTATTTTGAGTAAAAAAAGAATAAAATTTTCGTAAGATTTGCATTGTTTTGAGTAAAAAAGAATAAAATTTTCATTATCTAAGCTTTGGATCACCTCTAATGGACATCTAGGTAAAAAGTTATGCCTCTGGGGAGTGGTCGAGTGTTGACATCAGTTGACCATGGTGTATACAAAATTTCTGCCCAATTATAGTATCTAGTCTTAATCAAATTTGCTCCCAAAGAATTTTTTTTTTTTGATAATTGTAACTTTGTATTGATGACAGAGATAGATACAAAATGGTAAAAGTAAATCTAGGAGTACCTTAAGTACATAGATCTCCTGGTAAAAAGAATAGGTCATCCGACCCTATAAAAAATTGGTTTATAAAATAATCCCCTTACACTATATTTCGGAAATGTAAAAAGAAAGTAGAGAGAAAAATGGGGTTATAAAATTATCCCTTAACACAGTATTCAGGAAATGTACAAAGAAAGTAGAGAGAGTAAATCACAAAAAACCCCAAACCAAGAAGGATGTGCGTGCTCTGTGGCCGACCCAAACCCAACTGTGGTATGGCCTATTGATCAACGTGGGCCTTGGCTCCGCCCTTGGCCACCAAGTCCGTGAACCTGTTCGACGTCTGCGAGATATACGTCCATAAGACGGGCGTATCCCTGTAAAGATACTGAATCTCATCATAAATAAACTCAAGATACTAGGGGGGTAGCAATCCTAGAAGCCCAAGAAATAATGTTTCTAGCGTCACCCTCCATTAATAGTAACTGTCCCCAAGATCGGTCAAAGTTTTGTATGCCTCTAAGGAGAGCCATAGGTTGAGCGTACTGTGAATCTTGGATGCCGAGATATTCGGAGAAAGTAAATAGTACATTCTGATGGTGATCTCTGAAGACCCCTCCCGCACTTGCATGTCCTAGGTTTCCCGAAGAGAAGCCATCAAAATTCAGTTTGGTTGCTTCTTGGGGGGGAGGTTCCCAGGCCCTTATAACTTTATTTTTATTTGGTTTGTGGAGGAGAATTTGCTCCCACTGCGGTATGAATGAGTCAGTTGGGATACCAAAGAACAAATGATGGTTTGATGCCCAGAAGGTTACTAAGGATGTATCCTTGTGGAATAGTGAAGGGGCTAGACAGGACTGTCCCTGAAATATTATGGCATATCTTTCTTTCCAGATGGTCCAAATTGTTGCTGCCATAGTGGCTTTCCATAGGGTTCTACCCGCCTCTAGCCAGTGCGAGGCCAAGTTCAAAGGAAGAAGGTCTTTAACTGTTGGAGGTATTATCCAAAGGACCCCAAACAATTGCAACAACAGGCCCCATAGATCATGGGCCACGTTACAATGTACAAAAAGGTCGTTGCTGGATTCCTCTTGACTCAAGCACATGATGCACCTATTGGGAATTGGGATTCCTTTCTTTTGTAGGTGATCCACTGTAAGAGCCTTGTTGGAACCTTGAATACAGTTGGAGGTTTGTACCTTTGAGGGTGCAATTGACTGCCAAACTTGTGATAGAATCGAGGTTGGGTCCAAGGGGAAAGTAGGAGTTGGATAAGCTTTTTATAGAAAGAAGCCACAATAAACTCCCCTAAAGGTGCAAGGGACCATACCAATTTATCTCTACTAAGGATAGAGATAAAGGTATTGTGTAGCAGTGAGGAGAGAGAGAGGAATTGATTAAATTCGCCCTCAGAAAGATTCCTTCTGAAAGATGGCTGCCATCGTCTTCTGCCTTCCTCCATTCTGAACTCGTCCTCTACGGTAGCCTCTCTATTAATGGAGATGGAGAACAGAGAGGGATAGCAATCCCTCAAAGGGGCATGACCTATCCATAGGTCAGTCCAGAATCGAACTCTACTGCCTTCTCTTAGGAAGAATCTGATAATCTTCCTGAAAAG